TGATTACCAATTAGCTAATACGATTACTAATGATGGATTATCCCTTAAGCTCACTTACTTTCTTCATTAATCATGTAATCCACCATACATAGGAATTTAACGATGTCCTCATCTCGACACACTCAGCCTCCGAGCCTGTCGAGTCGATAGAGGTCATCGTTGGATGTAGGCATCGTGCTTCTCGGTGGTCGAGGTAGCCGAGAAGATCAGAACATAATGATACATGTACAAGTTGGTTAGACCACTTTATAGAGTCCCGACTTTTGACAGCTAACATGGCCGAATGAGCGGGTACCACCCTAGAATCCTTTGGAAACTAAAAGCCAATTAAATGAAACACAATCTATGAAGGCAACCACCGTTAATTATTTAAATGAGACTAACACAAATCAAACATTAACATCAATTAAATAAAAATAGAACTAAATTGTCTAATTTAAAAATAATGACTAAACTAAAACAAAAATAAGGGACCAAATTAATGAATAACTTAGTCATATAAAAATTTGTATATATGATCTACGTGGAAGGAACTTTCAATTTAATAGTGATTTTTTATGAAAATATCATTTATTTGAAAGTCATTGACTAGTGTGATAATTAGTAAAAATTGTACTAATATATTCTTATATTTCTCCATATATATATATATAATGAAAGAGTATTATTTAATGGTTATATAATATAAATGTAAAAAATAATTATATTATTAACTAATTTAAAATAATTTTTTCATTATTAAAATGATAGATTGGAGATGACATTTCATAGCTACCAGAAAGAAAGTCAATAATATGTTGAAAATTATTAGATTAAGCATTACTATATACTCAATGGTTAATCAAAATGCAGTAATATTTAATTTGACCAAAAACTTTGTTTGTTGATCGATAAAGACTCTTGAATAGATATACTTACAAAAGTAAGATTTTATAATTTCAAAGTATATATTAAACTTTTGTTATGAAAATTGTAAATTTAGATTAGATTTTGTTCCATTTATATCAATTTATAATGACTTATTTTTATTATATATGACTTTTAAAGTAGAAGTAAATAGAAATAAATCACGAAACTTACATTTATAAGAAGAAAAAAAGTGAGACGGAAAAAATTGACAAGGGTTTTTTAATTATCCTCAGAAGAAAAGGTAAACGGAGGAGGAAACATTGCTGTTAATTAAGCTTCTAAAATTGGTGATTAATAGCAGAAGTATAGGATTTAGATTCGTCAAAAAGGCTTACGCGATCCTGCAATTCTTGTTTGAAAGTGATATACACTAAAAAACAAGGTGAAAGCGTACAATCGGAAGTCTGGAAAGAGGAGTTAATAAAAAAAGAGTGTAGATATATTAGTATATTTTGTTGAATGCGATATAAAAAAATAATGATATTATGAAAAAAGTATGAGTGGATGTGTAAAAAAGAATAGACATAATTGAGGAAAGGGAAGGTATGATTTTCCGTTTTGATGGGAGTGGGAAGGAGCTAACAGCTAAGGGTATGTTAATGCCACTGTCAGCGTCAGCGTCAGGCATAACGGGTCAACACCCATTTGCACCTTCAACTTGTTTCCTATTCTATTTCTATTCATAATCATTTCATTACCGTCTTTGTCCGACCAAACTCTTCAAAAAAAACCTCTAAATATATTTGCAACATAAATCTCATATTATTATATCAAGCTAATTTTGACAGCTTCATTATGTTTCATTGTTATTTTAATAAATATTGTTGATTTTAGATATAGACTTTTACAATTTTATTTTTAATCATCATTTAAAATCTTTCATATATATTTTATAAGTTATTATTTTTATTTTATTTTATTAATGTAGAACTTGTTTGTATCTCAACATATATGATATTATTTATTTTCTTTTAAAATTTAATATATCAAAAATTAATTTAAACAAGTTTTTCTTTACAATTATGAAAATTTCAATTATTTTTAATTTTTGTTTTAAATTCATTAAAATTATATAAAAAAAATATTTTTAGTCCTTAAAATGCTTTAAATATTTTTTTTTTCAGTTTAAGGATTAGGGAAAAATATTTTAAAGAAAATAATATATATATATATATATATTGTGAAATAAAAAAAATTATAATATCATATACATGTACGAGCACAATATACACACGTATATAATAATAGTAATATAATACTGAAATTTTTTATTAGAAATGAAATAAGTAAAAAAATAATAATTAATTTTTAAGCCAATAATCAAATTCTTTTAGGCAATAATGATACTAGCTAGCTAGTAATGCACATTATTTAATATTTTTTTTAAAATATGCATATATAAAAGATATGTACAGTGTGTAGAAGAAATATATGGTTAAATTGTTGAATAAAATGTATTAAAAGAATATAACCCCTATTTATTTAAGTTACTCACATAATAATAACTAGCTTAAAAAAGTTCTAGTGTCTCTATGTATTTTTTAAAAAATAAAATTAAAATAATAATAATAACAATTAAAGTTGAATTTATGTGAATGGTTAATGATTAGAGGGTAAGAGTAATTTTGAGTAATTATTTAGAGGAGTGAAAGAATAATGAAAAAGTAAAAAAAAAATTAAATTAAAAAGATATGAAAAAGGAAAAGTGTTTTAGAAGTTAAAGGATAAATAATTAATAAAATATACACACCAAAAAAAAAAATATCTTTATTAATAGTTTAGATAACCATATTTATTAAATGATAAAGAGAAAATATGATTTTTATAATAAAGTTAAATTTAATCAATGTGCTAAAACAAAATTCTAGAATCCGACTTTTGTTCAGTCCTTAAAAACTTCTGATTTACGTTACGCATAAATTAATGGATGAAATTGTGTTACGGTTGTTCACTTTACTTTTTTGTTTTGTTTTGTATAATGATTGTCAATAGCCCAATATTGAAGCTTACCCTCAAGTTTGCTGTAATTTGTACGTGTGTAAATTGTTAGTTTAATTCAATCGTAGTAAGCTGTAATATCTCAATAATGATTTTCAATCTTAAGTAGCTCTTACTGGTACTACAATTTTACTTTTGAGAAAACTTGTCCACCAAACAAAAAAAATAAATAAATCAAACACACATCCACAGTAAGGATAAGAATTAATTATAGATCTTAATCACTAGTGTTAATTCACATTGGCCTTATTTTTCTTCGCGTGAAGGATATCTAAAGGAAAGCCAGGTCCTTTTTTTTAATACTGAAATGGGGGTAACTCTTTAAAAAATTCTCACAATAAGTAATTTATTAGAAAATCTAAATATAGGTGTACCGTATTGGTTCATTTCCGATATGGTCCCGGAGAGCAATTGCTTCAGTCCTTTCGCCTTATAGGCTCATGGCTGGGGGCAAGTGTACCATCTCAGTTTATTCTCGATATGGTCTCGGGGAGTATAATCCATTAAAGCCCTTTTGCCTTATAGGCTCAGGGCTGAAAGGCAAGTGTACTGTATCGGTTGATTTCCGATACGACTCACAGGAAAATAACCGAGACCCTCCTCACCTCACCATGTGGTAGATCTCGGCAAAGGCCCGATATGGTTTTGCTGCAGGGGTAAACCTGATCGGAATCCGACTTGATCCCCATGAGGGTGATCTCGGCAGAAGCCCGATCTGGTCGCGTGGGTGAGATCGGTCAGAGTGAGTTCGGCCATTATAGGATCGGCCTGGGTGAGCTCGGCCAATACCCGAGCGAGTCTTACCTCTCGCATTTGATCCGTGAACTAAGGATGAAAATCCTATCTTTAATAATCAAATATTCCCAATGGAAACTGTTAAGCAAATCCCCACATTCTCGGGGTTCACGAGGCCCGTGAACAAGAAAATATAAAACCTAAAATCCTAAGGCTAAGGGAGCAGATTACACTTTTGAATGCTCTGACTCTAAGGATTAACCTAGGAAGAAATCCTAGTCCACCCTTTGGCCGGAACAATAGGTAAATTTAAAAATGCACATTTCGATTCTTTCATACCCCATTTGGATATAAAAATAAAGAATAAGAGAAAGTGAAATGTAAATATATCATTAATATTTACTCTTCTAGTAAAGGGATAGTAGCCAGAGAACCCTTAGTGATGTGAACCCTAAGAGAACCTAGTCGTCGTCCTGACCTAGAACATTCAAGAATGAGAATAACCTACTTTTTCCTAGTCCATTTTTTCTTATTTATATGGGTCTTATACTCATGATACGAATCTTTGATCTCGATTCCTTAAATTGGGCCCGGATAATGAGCCTATGAATCGTATTTATAATTATAATCAAATCTACGCAAGAATCATGGAAATCACAAATTAACCTTGATTAGTTTTAACGGAACTCACTCGTTAATACACCTATGACTAGCTTAAAGTTCGGGTTGTTCGGTTGGATTGAGACCAAGAAGATATGTATTGTTCGACCTGCTCGACAAATTGGGGACCAAGAGGGTACACAACCCTCTCGACTTGCGCATTAACGAGGCGAAGAGACATTGATTGGTTAACTCGGCAAATTGGAGATCCGGAGGGTACACAGCCCTCCCGGCTCAAGAGTTGGCGACGCGTAGAGTCATTAATCGGTCAACTCGACAAATTGGAGATCCAGAAAGTACATTTACAAATTAGTTCCACTAATATTTACATTTTCATTTTATTTTTTGAACTAATTATCGGTTTGCGTAGTATTTATTGACGTGGTAGTCTCATATCTCATCATTGATCTAAACTCAGTGTTCCGACAAAACTTAAACCTTGATTAGCAGAAAACAAAATAAAAGCTTAAAAAGTAAAAAATGTTGGACGTGCTAAAATGTTGGAAAGAGAAGCCTTTGATGAAATAATAGCGAAGAACCCATAGTTTGACCAGACGTTTGTGGGTGAAGACAGGGATGAGCCGCATTCAAAAGACTCGGAAAGAAAATGGGTTACATTTTCACACGTGCTTTTATTGACCCGGGTATGAACCGTGTACGCTGTCCCTATATAAAACCTCCTCAACATTGTTCCTCTCATCTCACATAATTAATCTCTTCTCTTCAATCTTCCTCCTCTCTCTCTTCTAATTTTCCACTCTCAAGGTACCCTATTTTCTCAATCTCCTTTTCTTCCGCGTGTTTCTGTTTTCTTCATTAATTATCATCAAACTTAACAAACACACCCTTCAAACATAAGCAATTAATTTCACTTGTTTTTTCTTCACCACTTCTTTTGCCATTTCATCCATCAAACTTTCATTCACTACTCCTCTCATGCATGTGCACATCTGTTTACTAGCTATTTGGAAAGTACTCAATTAATTAGATGCTCCCCATCTCAGACTCAAATAATATTAATTGATGTCTTGCTTGACTTACTTTCAGTGCCCTATACTACATCAAGGAAGAAAACCGAAGATGATGGAAATTGCATCCACCAACTACTTGCCTGAATTTGTAAGCATGCATACTGACAACCCATCATATGAGCTGGGAAATTCATCTTACTAATTTGACTTTTTAATTAACAGGAATTGGAGTATCCAACCTTCTTTGATCAATACCCAATGGATTCTTTTGCATGCCCACCACTTGATGACTTTGACTTTGAATCTTTCTCAGGGTCCCCAGAGAGCAATTCCTCCTATCAGTTCAACTCCGAAAGCACACCAAATTGTTTCCCAGTTGAAAGTCTTGATCAGTCTTATTCTCCTGCAAGACCAATTACCAAGAGGCTCAAGAAATTCAGTACCTTGAACACTACTTGTGCCGGTGACCTAACACCACACAAGGTTTCTGCTTCTCCATACTCCCAACTAATTTCCTTTGGCCACTTTAATGCCCCATCAGGTGCTCCCAAGCAATTTGACAACTATGTAAAGCCTAAAATCGAGAACACGTATAGTGAGAACATGGATTTTTCAGCCTTCGTTTCTCAAGGTTCATATGAGGACAAAAGTTTCCTATCTTCTGATAATCTAACGAATCAGCCTGTTATAACTACTCGGAACCCAATCCAAGCCCAAGAGCACGTAATAGCTGAAAGAAAACGAAGGGAAAAACTAAGCCAGAGATTCATCGCTCTTTCTGCCATCCTTCCTGGCCTCAAGAAGGTACCCTTAGCTTAACAATTGTTATCTCATAATCGGTTTGAATAAATTTCTTCCCAAATACTTGATAAAAAATATGAAGAAAAAAATTACTTCTAAAATTAATTTATGTTAAAAATATGATAGAATTCGTATGAATTAGCTTATGAATCATTGGAGATGTTTATTTTATTTTTTTTTATAAGTGTTTGTGAATAAATTTGTCCAAAAGATGACTTTAATCTCAATTCTCATGCACCATGCACCTCCAAACAAACCACAGATACCATTTATGCAATATCAACACACGCTTAAAGACTTAACCTAAGTTGAACCAACTATAAGTAAATGTGGAACTTAAGTTATATATATGGTTGCATGCCAGATGGACAAGGCTTCTGTGTTGGGAGATGCTATCAAGTATGTGAAACAACTACAAGAGCGCGTGCAAACTCTGGAGGAGCAAGCAGCGAAGAGAACAGTTGGATCTTCAGTCCTGGTGAAAAGATCTATTCTCTTCGCCGACGATGACGATTCTGACAGCCACTTCGACCATTCACTCCCCGAAATCGAAGTCAGAGTTTCTGGAAAAGACGTACTCATCAGAACACAAAGCGACAAACACAGTGGACTTGCTGCAGTGATTCTCAGCGAATTAGAAAAGCTTCATTTCATGGTCCAAAGTAGCAGCTTTTTGCCCTTCGGCAATAACAAAATTGACGTAACTATTATTGCTCAGGTAAATAATTCAATACATATACCAAGTTTTGAATGTGTAGTACTCATTAACAATACTCATGCAAAGAGATAGTTAAGTTATTAATTAATTAACTAGCATGTCAGATTAATTAAATTTAGTTTGATTGCCTAATTTCTCACATAGTATTTGTGTTTTGTTTCAGATGAACAAGGAAAAGTGCATGACAGCAAAGGATCTCCTAGGAAGGTTAAGAGAGGCTTTGAGTCAGTTGATTTGATATGGCAAAACAAGTTCAAGGAATATATTTATGAGTGATGTGCATGATTACAAGAATAAGTTAAGTCAACAATGATTTTTATCGCAGTGCTTTGTTTTTCCTTTTTCTTCCATGATGTGGATTCTGGAGTTAAATATGAAGGGCCTGCGGTTATCTGTTGTTGGCATAGGGTTTACATGGGTTTGTTGTGCTGTGAGGTGTGGGGAGTTTCAACAGAAACAGATGATGCCATTGCCAGAGTGTTTTGTTCTGTTGTTTTTTGCGTAGTTGATTGGTAGGCTATGTTTCCCCACACCAGAATAGCATTTTCAAATCTAGATACTTTTTTTCCCCCACATCAATCAAGAGGGGTTTTTTAGAGGCTTTGACTTACAATATAGAGCTCTTTCTTCTTTGTTCTCCTGTTGTGAAAAAGGTTTCGGATTCATAGATACTAAATATCGGGCACTTTATTTAAATTTGTTCATGTTGTCGTTTTGTGTTCTGTTAATGTTAACTTTTGTATAAAATTATTCTGCTTGTAATAGCGACTTAAGGACAAGTTGGTGTATTTTCTTAATATATTTTATACCGTTTTGTTGCATATCTGTTTTTTGGGTCAAGGTATATCTTGCTTCGAATTAATATTCATTCATATGTATATTGCTTGTAAAATGATGTGTGGACACACACTCAAATGCTAGTTGACACAGGTAGAGATATAAAGAGAGGAAAAAATATCTGATAAGTGATAGAATTTAAAAAGATAATCAAAGAAATGAAGATAAATTAAAGATATTAATAAAGTCTTTAAAGTTGAGAAGTATTTAAATATTATTATTCGTAGTATTTCATCAGATCCGATAGGGTTTTTTTTTTTAGGACTGAGATCCGATAGGCTGATAGTCTATAAGCAAAGCTCAATATATAGGGTGGTGCCCGAAAATTTCTACTTGAAATTCAAGCAAGAAGAAAAAAGGAAAATTTTGAAAGAGGAATATCTCACGAAAGTTTTAATTTTTTTTTTCCGAAAGCATATAAATAAATATTTCGAATTAGTCTTACATAACTAATAGATTATTAATAGGAATTTGATTTTTAGTTGTCTGTATTAAAAATATATTAAAAAAATATATTTTGATGGTTTTTTACATTTTAAAAGTTTAATTTCTAATTAGTGGTTGAAGAAATCTTTACTATATATTATGAGTCCATTGGTAGGAAGGAAAAAATAGAATAAAAATAAATAGAAGAGAAAGAAAGAGAGAAAAAAAATAATTTTGAGTCTTTTTGTTTAAAAGAAATAGAAGAGAGAAAAGAAAAATAATATTTTAAAATTGTTTAATTTAAATAGAAAGAAAGGAAAAAAAATGTAAGCATATGTAAATTCTATTTTTGTCTTTATCGAATAACTCACCTCTATAAGTGTTGATATCTTTTATAATTAATTATTTTTATAAATATAATTAATTAAAAAAATTTATTGATTGTTTGGGGGATTCAAGTATTCAACTGATTGTTTAAGAATTTTAATCGATTAAAATTGCAAATCACGTGAATAATTAGTTATATATCTAGGTAGTTCAGTCAATTAAAGTTGGAAAACATATACGTGCGTGTTGGAGTTAACGTATTTTGTTCCATCAATTTCTTTTGCTTCACGTGAAAAATTTCAAACGTTATTTTCATATTTGTTGGTGTAAAAAATTTGGCAAATTCCAGCTATTACGTAATGGAAAGAAATAATAACAAATATCAAACATCTAATTCTAGGGTTATCATACATACCAAACATACAAAAAAATATATAAGTAACTCTACTTGTCGGTCAAACAATTATACAAGACCATGTTACAACGAGCAACATCACAAGACAAGTCATTCCTAGCATGATTTGCCACCATTACATCCAAACCTCTAGTAATCTTTTCTTGCTTTCAAACTAAATATAATCATAGTAGTTTCAATCACAAGAAAAAGAAGAATAAATTTGTGAAAAAAATAAACATAAATATGCAATTGAATAACTTACAATAATTACAACATAGTCAACTGTATAGAACAACAATACACAATTAATGTGTCATCTCACATATCAATTATGAAGTTTACTTACAAAAGAGGTGAGTAGTTTAAGTGGTTAGATTCTATCGAACCACAATGTATAATCTATCTCAATCAAGTCAACTAAAAACTTAATTTGATTGCTTAGGTTTTGTCACTTAAAATAGGAAGTCAAATAATACCATCATGATAGAACAATTTGGGTATAAGCCTACAATGATGACATTAGTTTGCATCACTAAGCCAGTTATGGGATTAGTCCATCGACTATCCTCCAAGCACGATGCTCCTCCAATATTCGAACATGGACTAAGTTTTTGACTTTGTACTTTTTTCAGCACTTTGCCTACATATAAATATCACATAAATCCTAGATGATACAGCTTGAAACAACTACTTATAGAAACCAACTTACTTATTGAAGGATTTCAATCGGGCTCTTTGAGCACCGCAACCTATATCCACCTAGTGAAATATTTTAACTTCGAAAATAACAGTTACTCTCCTCTAATTTTTATGTATCTTTAGTAAAGACATGTATCTACACCGCATGTCTTACAACATAACTACTTAATATCTTGAGCAACTTAAATAACATGCAACTTTACAACTCAATCATCTATTAACTCACGACTTAACAACACACACATCCTCATGATAAATAAACTCACAACATATAGGTTTATCATCATCCATCATACAACTTATATCATCACCTTTCAACTAGAAAACAACACATGAAAATTCATGCAACCCGTGCCTAACACCACTCTTAGGACACCTAGTGCTATTGAGGTTGGGGGCTCCTTATCTTGTCCTTACCCGACACCACACTACTAGCACCTGGTGTGGTCAGGGCAAAGAGTCTACCACTTTCTTGTGTCTGATGTGGCAAGAGCCCATGTTCGACCCCAACATGCAGGGGTCTCCACATAACTCATACCCAATGTTACTTCATTGACGTCCGACGTGATTTTAACTTGAGATGATTCTCTCTTTTCTCCTCCAGTGCCATTCAAACCCACACCCAACATGATTCCAATTTGAGATAATTTTTATACAACATTTTATGCCTGACATGAGTGAGAAAAAAGCCCCTTGGTTGAAATCACTCTCAACAACTTGAAGGCGTACCTAACACGACATTAGTTTCTACACAATTGCATAACTTATTTTGCCCTATACACCTGAAAATCAAAAACTCAACCACATGCAACAAAAAAAATCAACATATAAACATCACAAATATCTCAAAATTTGCTCAAAATAGTACATGCAACCGTCAATATTCCAAATTGAATTAACTCACTCAAGAACACCATTCAAGAGCACTTCTCTACAACCTATAAAATTCATAACTTCCACCAATTCCTCCATACAAGAGTAAATTCGAAAACAACCAATATCAAGCAATTCATTGATAATATGTAAATTCATCAAGCTTTCCTAACCTCTTGTCAATATGAAGATGAGAAGATGAGAAGAGGAGAAAGGAAGGAAGAATGACATAACTTCGACTCGAGATCCTTAACTTTGCAAGCTTTGAATCCACAAGCAACCACACAATCAGTTCTAAAAGGAGTAGAGTATCAATTTCAAGTTTCAAAAAATTTCTCACTAGCTTCTCTCTAATTTTCTTTTAAACCTAAATTTATAAGGTTCACATTTTAAGAAAAATTTTATACACTTCTATTAGAGCTAACAGGGTCTCAAACCCACAACAAATCTCTCAACAACACAAATCATGAATCTGTCATATAATTAAATTAAATTACACAAAATCAACATTTATCATGTGCATTGCATAGATGAAATACTAACTAATTTTGAATATTATATCTTTTCTAGTTATAAATTAGTATAATTATCTTAAGTGAAATTATTTTTAAATATTTATTTACATATACTTAATATATTTAAAAATATTTATTTATTAAAACTTTATTTGTATAAAATAAACTTTTTTTGTATTGTAAAAAATAAAATATTAAATTAAAATTTAAATTAGACAATATTTTTTCATTTTTAGTTTTTATGAATATATATAAATTAATATATATATATATATATATATATATATATATATATATTTAA